GGTGGCTGACTAAATACTTTTTTGCCCCACTGTATAAAAGGTCTCTAAATAGGAAAAGATGTGTAATGAGTGCACTCGGCCTCCATGGGGTGCCATATCTGTAGAAGCTTAGACTGCAGGTTTTCTGTGGCAGGCCCAAGCAGGAGTCGGGGTGCCTGCTTGGGCCTTTGCGTGCTGTCAAAGGCGCGCACCGGCATGTTCTTCTAGCTCAGAGTATGGAGCAATTTTAAAGGGACTCTCTGGGCTGTTTGATACATGCTCTCTTCTGCCTGAGTCCTCCCCTGAGATAAAGCAAACTGGTACGCTCACACACTGGGAAGAAGAGGAGAGAGAATATACTGGAAGTGTCTCACATTAAAGCAGTTTTACAACACTGGTGTTGAAAGAAATTGATGTTTCCTAAACTGGCTGAAGGTCTGTGAAGACACGTTGAGGTTGTATCAGCAAGACAACAGAGGAGGAACCGCCCTTCTTTGATCCTCGGTCAGTTGTTTTGCACTGAACTGCTATTAACACTCCAGTACATGCTAGCAGGATGAGTCACCAGATAAATCATTTGCCTAAAATCAAAGGCTAAACGGCAATGGCGTGAGAAGCTCTTAAACAGTTTTCGCAAGAACACGGAGTGGAGTGAAAGTCTGCAAAAATCACACTGAGTTGTTTTACTTTCAGCAGCTAGACTCACTGATCCAAAGTAAACTGATCGAGGATCTTTATCAGTGAGCAGTGTTTCCACATGGAGTATATTTTTAAAAGGATGCAGTTTAAACTCCTTCATATGCAAATCATTTCAAACTAGTGTGCCAACAAATGTTTCCAGCTCCCCGTCATTTCTTTATATTTCAGTAAGAAACTGGGAAACAGCGATTTATCCAGATATACTCCATGAGTAATGTTCGCTTGTGATTTTGTGTCCAAGTAGTTTTTACAGCATTTGTAGGCTGAGTGAAGCAGCTGCCAATCAGAAGCTGGTTCAGTTCTGTGTTCCCAACACGACTGACTGAATACATCTGAGCCAAGCCTCGGCAACAAAGGGAAGAAGCCAAAATACAAACAAGAATAAAAATCGTTTTTTCTTTAAACGTATTCGCTGTACCTTCTCCTCAGGTAAGGGCAGCATGTATTTGTGGATACACAAAACTAAACGAGTGCTTTCCTTACATTTCAAAGTGATTTCTGTTTTTCCCAATTTCCAAGTCAGCATGAAAAAACTGAGGCAAAAACCAGCGTCTCTTCAGCAGAAAAAGGAAGCAAGTTTTCTCCCTGTGATACGATCTCAGACTAAATACAGGTGTTGGATTTGACAGATAAGTTGCTGCCCCTCATGTCAGTTTCCCTTGTGGGGAAACCCCCGAGACACAAACGTGTTCAGTGCCAAGAGTGAGCGAGACGGCTTTATCTGTTTATATTCTCATGCAGTGTTAATTTTAAATATGTTGTTCATCAGGCGTAGGGACAGACTTCCAAGGAACCGCTACATATGAAGATCTTACCTCATTCAGTTTATGGTCCTTTGTAATTTACCGTTGGGCTTAGCTGATACATTTTCCCATTGGTATGATAAGTAGTAAATCCACAGTATGTTTTTAACATTTTTCACTAGTCAGTCTGTCAGTTGCTCTCCCTTCCATGTAAGAATAACTCACTGATGCAATCAGCTGTGGCATTTATTTAGTGGGGCTACATTTTCATAAAAGTCCAGCTTCTCATCTGGTTTGAATTGTCAGCTTCCAAGGTAAATTAAAAAAAAGAAAAAGCTGGCGTGCAGGATGCATAGTATTCATCCAGCCTCTTGTGCAATTCTCTTAATGATAATGGGTGACAAGAAATTTATCACAGTTTTACCAGCCAGTCTCTCAACTGTTCCTTCTTCCATGTAAAAACACAGTTTGCTATATTGGCCGATATCATACGGGATAGTTTTTGTTTCTGGGTCGTCATATTTCCACAAGCATGAGTTCAGTTTCTTCTCTGGTTTGAATCCAATTGGCATCCTCCGAGGAAGGAGAAACGCTGGCGTGCAGGATGCGTGGTAATCTTGTGGTAATCTTGTTGTGCAATGACTCATTTAATGAGAGGTGTCTCACAACAATCACTAGAGCCTAAGACCACTGTTCGAGCTTTATTCAAAATGACCTTTAAAAACACCAATGTTACAGTGGAAACTGATCGAATAGCGGAGGGTGTGTGTCGAGGATGACTGGGTGTGGTGGCGGCTGTTTTTAGGAAAAAGCTCACCTGCAAAAAACTGTCAACTGAGGTTTGAACTTCTCACGTTTGAATTGAGGCACTCGTTGCTGCTATATGCAGACCTCTAAAATATCACAAAGGTTTTAATCAGGACTTCTCAAACCTTTTAGCAGATACTGTGCCAAGCTACAATCAAATATTAATTGTTGGAGATTTTAATATTCATGTGTGTTGGCCCTCCGATCCACTAACCAGAGACTTCTTAAGTTTGATAGACTCCTTCAGTCTTGCTCGCTTTGTGTCGGGGCCAACCCAGAAACAGGATCGCACATTGGATCGCGTGTTGCTGTTTTCTCTGATCGCTGTCCTGGTGTGTTTGGTATTGTTTCATCTTACCACATCGTTGTCCTGTGTTTAAACCCTCTGCACCTGAACCATTTTCTTTTTTAAAAAAAGCTCCAAAGTCTCCCCTCAGCCTTGGTACCGAGGAGATGACATCTCTTTTTTATCACAAATACAAAACTGTCCGTGATGACATTCCTACTTTTAAAACTATGAGCTTGAAACCACAATCTGACCCATGGATAAATGATGCCCCTCCCTCAGCCAGACGAGTGCAGGAAGGCTAAATGTAAGCGGAAAGAAGACGTCTTTTCTCATCCTGAGAGACAGTCTGAGCAGGTATCAGGACAAGTAAAAGCAGAAAAAGTTGATATCTTGCTCCAATGCTTGATTTTTAAAGTTCCAACATCTTAAGGATCTTTAACAGCAGCCTTAGTTCAGCTGTTGTACAGCCTGTTTTAAACATGCTGTTGTACAGCCTGTACTTAAAAAACCTCGTCTCAATTCCTCTGTCCTCTCAAATTTCAGGCCTATTTCAAAGCTTCCCTTCCAATGGAAAATTTTGGAAAAGATTGTATTTGTTCAGCTGCAATCTTTTGTAAATGGGCTGGATGTTCTTCAGAGGTTTCAGTCTGGTTTTAAAGCTCTTCACAGCACCAAAACTGCACTTTTAAAAGTTGAGCCACTGACTCACTGACCACAGCATCTGGATCTCATGACTGGAGCATTACGGGATCAAGGGTTTTCCATTCGAGTGGTTAATAGTTAATTAACCACTAATTTAATATCAACACAGGTTAATAGCTGTCTGACAGGACCTTTTCCGTGAGCTTTGGAGATCCGCTTCCTCAGCTCCCCTTACTTGTGGCGTTCCTCAGGGATCTTTACTGGGGCCAATTTTATTCTCTGTGTCTGCTGCCTCTAGGTCTAATTTTCAGTAAATATAACACTTGTTTCCATTCATATGTCGATGACACTCAGATCTACCTAATCTAATTAAATGTGCTATATAAATAAAAACTATAACACTGTTGTCGTTAATAATACTACTGGTCATGATTTCAAACTATCATTTGTCAAGGTGCACGTGGCTTAATCCTGCATGTTGGCCAACAGCGGAAGAAATCTGATTGTTTCAATTAATAAAATGTAACTTTGTAATTTACAGTCTAGTTTGGAGTAACTCTAGGAGAGACTAGCAAAGTCAAAGACTATTGCACTATTGCAATTTCTACTGGACATCAAATAGTGTTTGCCTTAAAATGCTGAGGTACTGAACAACATCAAACTATTTGTACTTTGACTTTTTGATTGTTTTTAAGCTTTTTTTTACTAATAAAAATTCAAAGTCACATGGAAATAAAACAGAATTGAGTACTGGAAGGTGTGTACCCCACAGCAAGACATATTGTTTGTCTGGAGCACAAACACAGTCCAGTTCACCTGTAACTCAAAGCATCAGCAGCAGTAACTTTAAGACTTAACAGAGTCCAGACAAGTAGGTTTATTGTGAAGTTGATATGATGTGAAAAATCAGAGAGGGGTGATCATTCATCTTGTTTAGGTGGACACTGTAACACCGGGACCAGTCGATACACACTGACTGCTGCAGCCAGCTTCGGGAGGCTGATCTGCAGCTTTTGACACTTCAATGGTTTCATTTTCCAGAGAGAAATGTTTTCTATTGCATTCCATTTATTTGAAACCTTTGCTCATTGTTTACCTATAAGCAGAAGAATTTTCACAGGTTAGGACAAAAGCACACCAAAACCTCGATCAGTGGTTCCAGATGTTTCTGCCTTGAACTTCTTACAAACACCACCGTGCTGTCACATTTCAGACATGTGTCCAAAAATCCAAAATTGTTCATGCAAAGCAAATCTAGCAAAGTCCACAAATCGGAAATGAGCTGGATATGAGAACAACAGGGTCCCTTTATATAAAACAAGAAGGTTGTTCAGCTGTGACATAATGCTGAACTGCATTCTGCAAACACAACACTAGATGGCATCTGTTTAAGACTGACTTTTATACATATGAAATTGAATCACAGTGTGCTTTGGCTGTTTCTCAAACACAGACAAACATGGATTTTATAGCATTTCTGTGCAAACGTCTTGAGCTACTTCTTCGTTATTTAGATTTTGCATCTAAGAAGACAGAATTGTAACTTTTTAAGTTCATCTTGAACAATGTTGCAATGGTTTTCACTACAAGCTGCAAAACACTGCGTCCAACATCCAAAGAAAAACTTGAAGGAGGCTTTTAAAAGTCACATGAAACTTGCCTGTGATTTCAGGTAAGGCTCTGTGGTCATACCAAATATGGACTTCTAAGCTCATTGTACAAATATACTGTGTTTACATGTATGTAATGCGCCGTGCCCATTTCCCATTGACGATATAAAGATATGAAGCCTTTGCTTAAGACCTTTGCACTGTAGGTAACAGACTACTAGAATTACACTAGTCTCTATGCAAGAAATGATTTGTCTTTCAGTTCTGTTTATTGCTGCACACTAAACTAATTTCTAATAAATCAAATGAACATAATGAAAATGTAATAACAGGAAGTCAGGAGCAGTTACAAAAATAAAACTCAGGTCACAATAATCCAGAAGAGTCTTTACCTTGCTCAGTTTTTATATCTATTTATTTATTTTATATCTATCTAAATTTGATTTTGCCATGTTTAATATATGCTGCTATTGCTCACGTGTTTTTGTAAGGTGACCTTGAGGGTCTGAAAGGCGCCTATAAATAAACTGTATTATTATTATTATTATTATTATTATTATTATTATTGTTATTATTATTAAGTATGAGCCAGCATGGATAATTATAGACGTGTGATTCCCAATTATCCAAGAAATTAATAGTTCTGTGAAGTCTGGGTCATAATGTGTGGTAACACGTACCTGAACCCTGACTCTACTGTATACTTTCAAAATAATCGCTTTCTGGATTTTCATTGTTTTCTTACAAGTCTTTGCAACAGGGACACCAAAAAAAACACGATAACTAAGAGAAACTATTTCAAGTTTTGCTTACAAATCACAGAAAACACTTGGTTTGGGTAAGTTAGATAGGTTAGACCTCAAAGGCTTAATAATAGACAGAATCTGTGGTAATCAAGTTACACAAAAAGGCCAATAGGCACTTGCCCCCGAGGGAAAAAAAAAGAAATGTAAAGGTAAAAATACTGATTTCATATTTTAAAAAAATGTTCTTCAGACATTGGGTATGAAGAGGGAGCTTCTGTACGAGTCTTTGTCCTCCTCCTCACCATGTTCTTTGTGATCCTCGAGAAGTTTGTCCAGTAGGTTTGGTGATTCCGCCTCAACCTCCGGGTCTTCGTTCAGAGACTGACCTTGAGCTTGCTGCTCTGAATGCTCGGGGATCTCCAGGATCTCGGGCTGAGGGTCCATACCCTGGGGCTCCAGCTGTGGGATCATGGCGGTCAACGACATGGACAGTGGCATGTGTACCAGAGGCGACCCAGGCAGCGCTGCAGAACCCGGGGCAAACTGCACCCCGTGATTAGGCATGGTCGATATAGTGGTGAGTGGCTGGGCCCAAGGAAGATAGGTCAACCCTGAGTCTTGGAGCTCCACTTGAGGCAGGGAGGCTGGGGCTGGTGCCACTGGTATGGTCTGAAACAACAGCAATCATTAAATATTTATGATGATGGCAAAGACATTTAACCTTGCAAAAAGTCAAACGCATGCATAAAACGGACGTCTGCTGATGCCACGAGCCTCACTTTAGGCGCTTAATCGTTTATTTTTTTATGTTTTACTCAAGATTTTGTGGAGGGTTTGGAAGGTAGACGCAGTGTCACTGCAGTCAGCATTTATTGTTCAGCTCACAGGAATATTGTAATCAGATATAATTAGGTACACAAGAAAAGAGGGCCCTAGTGAACCCAGTGGACACAGACCGGGAACAGCTTGTGCTGATTTAGACTGCTGCGGTGAATCTTTCTACGGTGAACCTACGTGTTTGGTGTTAATTAGCCTCGTGGTCGTGTCCCAGTGTTTTAATGTGGAGACAGCCACCATGTTCTTCCTTCCTGGATTCTCTTTGTTGTGATGTGTTTCCATTTATTTATTTTTTCAGAGACAAACATATTTTTCCACTTTGCACATCAACTCATCGTCATGATGAGTGACGTGTATGTAAATCCCTAAACTGAGTCAGTGACAGTTATTCTCTGGATAAATTCAAAAACTGCAGTGAAAAAAGAGCTGCAAATATAAAGGAGAAATCGTTCATGCTGAACAGGCAGAAATCTAAATCCCATGTTAATCCCACGGTGTACAAAGGTCCTCGGCGGGTTTAAAGAGTTCCAGTTAATCCCCTACCCCAGTCTTATCTCTGTATTTATTACCCACTTGCAGCAGGTTTGAAATGTAAGAATTTAAAGACAAGCACAGCAGCTGTTGGCAGTTAACACAGAGAGCATGCATGCAGTGATAACAGGCTTTTATGGTGGGAAGCATCACAATGCATCACAAACACTTGTCTGCACCTGTAGAGAAAGACGAGCCCTGTACGAGCTACCTTTGATTACAGACGCTGAGACTACCAGCACAATAAGATGACTTAGTTCACTAAAGACAGAACATATGATAACAGGATCCTGTGGCGCTGTTAAACATGTTGCATTATTTTGACATAAATGAGTTTTAAAGAAAACTTTAGATCGTTCCCGTCCCAGCCGTGACTCTGTGGGATACAGTACCATCGGGTCTCAAAGGTGAAGCAGCCCCTTAATGCCTAGAGTTTCAGATTTGGTACATGTACTTTTACATATACATATTTTTACTTGCACATACTTATACACAACCTTACTTTAAAGTGAAATAATAGCCTGAATCCATGCTTGTACTGTTGCAATGGCTCTATCTGTTAAATCACATTTGACTGATAGAGCGAGAACTGATTGTTTTTATCCTTTTGTGCCGATTTGTGATCATTTTATTCCCCCGTGCAGTCTGTAGAACATATTTGCATAGTCCTTTTTCACTCACCCCAAAGTTTGTCAGCAGTGGTGTGTGTGTGTAGGTCAGCATGGTGTAGCTGGGACACAGAGTTTGCATAGTAAGTGTCGGAGTGGCTGGGTAGGTCAGAGTCTGAGCTGAGGGGTCCTGCTGGTTGTAGTCAGGCGTCGACCAGGACATGGCGGCGGCCTGCAGCCCAGGACTGGTCGCTTTCCACCCCGCACACTGCAGCCCTCCATCAGCAGCTGTGGTCGGCGCTTCGGCTGGGGATCCGCTGGCAACATCACAGCCAAAGATACCTGGAGAACAAGAAGCAGATTCGGCATTAGACACGCGGAAACAGCTTTACGTGGAACATGTAGTTCACAGGTGAGGCTTCTACCTTGTGTAAATGACGGCTGGTTGTTGTGTGAGACCACGTCCTGAAAAACACAGATATCATCAATGAGGTTAACATGTCAATAACTGCAGCAGAACCTTAATCACAGCAACGCGGCGATGTTGATATGTAAACATGCAGCAGCCACACCTGGACCTGTGACACTCAGGTGTGAGCAGCTATCTGAGAATTCACTCTTGAAAAGTGTTTTTTGAACTTGTTTTTCTGGATCCGTTCATTAAAGCGAAAGCTGTGAATTTGATACTACTGGGCATGGAAGTACATCGGTCCAGTTCAGCTTTATTTATATAGTGCCACTTGCCTCGACCTACAGTAATACAGAGAATATCCCGATGATCAGACGACCCCTGTGAGCCTCCATGATAGTATTAAAACAGACCGTTCATCTAAACCTCAAAGGCCAGGCTCTATAAATGCTGTTGGTGGGTCGGTGAAAACACAGAGCACTGGTACTGTTGAGTCATTGTGCAGCACCCAGCGTTTGTTATTGTGCAGTGACACATCTTGACTGGTCTGACTGGGAAATGTTCTTTCATTCACGGTACAGTTGCTTTTAACATTTCCTTGGAAGGTAAGACAAAGCTGAGGTGTGACAGTCATCAGGGTCTCTATTTACCAATGCTGGCATACTGGATATATCATACTGGATTTTTCTCCCCAATAAATAACTTATGAGGGGTTTTTCCAGTCTTGTATAATCTGGGGGATAAATGTGAGTTCATGATTAACCTTATTTATTAAAGTGGCAAAAAAATAAAACCATTACTGGACGACCACAAAGCCTACATGTATGACAAATGTTTTTCATGCTAACTGAGCAAATTCCAGCTTGTTCTGCCAACAGCTGCTTCTGCTGTAAATGACATATCTCAGGCACGTGTGGGAGCAGATCTAGGATCTATGTTCTTCTGAGGCCAGAGCAGGCAGGTCCTCTCCTGAGAAGAAGTGAGCTGTAAAGATAGCAAATAAAAGAAAGAGACAAGAACCACTGAACCCATTCTGAACCTGTGCTATTCATTGCTTTGTCATTGTATTTCTCCACACACACACACTCATTGGAGGGTTTCCATTGTGTGTGCGCTTTAATGCACTGACATCATGTCTTTAGGATCATAGCTATGCTGATAAATGAAGCTGTGGCCAATCAGACTCCTTTCTGTTTCGTGGTGGATCAAAATCTCACGGTACTTTTATCAGTTTTGAAAGGTCACCAGCAAACCACGACAGAGCCTCCACCGTGCTTCACAGAGAGCTGCAGACACTTAGTCGGGCTCTTTCCTGGCCTCCTCCGTACACACTGAAAATTATTCAAACCAAAACATTACGTTTGGATTTATCACTGTTACCAGTGACTTTCAGTTCAGTTCTTGTGTAATTTGGCATATTTCAGCTCTTTCTCCTTGTTTCCTTTTCTTAGGCATGGCTTCTTGACAGCCACCCTTCACTGACACCATTTCTGTCCAGGCTTCAGGAGCTAGATCAGCTGAAGGGCCAGTTGCACTCCTCAGGTCCAGGGTCAGGTCATTGTTGGATGTGTTCCTGTTTCTTGTACTGATCATTTGCTGTTTTCTTTGTTTTTAGGGGTGCCACTCCTCGTCTTCCGCAGATTTCACAGTTTTTTGAGGATACAGTATTTCACAGTCTGGCTCTTTTGGAGTCACTTTTGTTTTATTTTACCTCTGTCAGAGTGTGTTATCGTTGGTACTTTTGACGAAGAAACGATAACAAAGGGTGTGTTTTTGCATCCCTTCAGTTAGCCTCCTTTTTAATGCTCGAATGATTCACAGCCGGACTGACAGCGAATGAAAAAGAAACCAATGTCCAAATGAGCAGAAACTCTGGAAGCAAAATGTAAAGGGTGGCTCGAGATTTCTGCAGAGTATAAACTGCATGAGTCATTTAAAAAATCATCAAGTTGATTTTAATGGATCTGTGACCGACCAACTGAATCCATAAACTATCACAGGTGTTTCACCCTTTGGAAAGTTCCTGCAGCTAATGTGAAATACATTCAGACACTTACAGATTGAACTAAATGAAGTTGGAGGTAGAGGATGGTGCCGCCACACTTTGTGTAAGAGGTTCAGATTATCGTTCAAGCAGAACGTTATGGCTGCTTCTTCAAGCGCATTCATGGTGAAGTGGAACACACCCAGTCGGCATGTCCAGGTGTAACTTTTATGGATGCTGTTAAAGCCGACTCATTCCTCAGCCTCAGTCAAACCCAGTGCAGGTGATCAGGTCCTTTACTTTGTGAACACAAAGCGTCCTCAGAAAGTGACCACAGTGGGGTTTAACTGTGCGATTGTTGTAGCTCCTCCTGTCAGAGCTGTCGAACCATCAGCTCCTCTCCTGCAGCCCGTCAGCCACCTGGCAGCACCTCCCTGCTGCCTTGAAGACGCCCTGCCCGCTGACTGCAGGCAGCAGGATGCAGTACAAACACTGACACACGCTGTCAGTGCTGCCGCTGTTGCCTCCCATTCAGTCTTTTGTGTTTGCGTATCGCAGTATCTCTTCTTGCTACAGGCACATGTACAGCCCGATTGGTCGATACCAAACAGACGGGTTTTAGACTCAATCTGTGAGACGGACATTTGGGTTTGCACAAACACAGAGACGAGGCAGAGAGTGGACAGTGTGGCAAAATCCACTTTTTGTGAAGTCTGTAATCTTTCCTCAAAGAAAAACGGACAAAATATCCACAAAAAGAGGAAAGACCAATGTGCATGTGTCGTATAGTTAACTTGGCGCACACAGTCATAAACTGGAATTCAAAATGAATTATTCAGGTATTGGCTTTTATGTATTTCCTCATCGTTGGTGCTCAGGTTTCTGTTCGCAGCGCAGCTGTGATTTATCAGGTTGATTGAACAAACTGGGAATTCAGTCCAGAGATGTTGACAGCGTGCTTTCACAACACGCTTCTTAGCTCCAAAGGCAAGGAGGATTTTTACTGTGGAAAGCTGCAGTGACAATATCTGAAAGCAGACTCAGTGAGTGTGGAATAACTGCCACCTCATATTAATGTGGTTTGGTTTGAGATTTGCACAAACACAACTGTCGTCCCTTTGAACCAGAATCCTGGAAATACCCACGTAGTCCTGCCAGGCAGGCAAATAGTGGAAGAAGTGGACAGAATTTTATCTTTGCTGCTAGCAGCACTAACTCATTGCATTTAAAATAATCAACTGTAGTGCCGTGCCAATAAAAGATGTTGGAATATCACATGCTAGTCACGGGGAGTGTCCGTACATGTGTATGTTTGTGCACACCGCTGCTTCTGGCCTCTTCTCTTCTTGTAGGGATAATAAATAGAAAGTGGGAGGTCTCTTTGGCAAGGCTGCACGTTACTTTGCATAGGGCTGTGTGCCCAGCCCTGCAGCTCTGCTGTAACCGCCATGGAAAAACACCTGGATTATATAAGGATAAAATCCCCTGCTGCTTTCTGAGCCTGTATCCCGACCGAACACATCCTCACAGGACATTTTGCTTTCGATTCCTGCAGATCTCATGTGCAGTCTCCTGAGGTGCAGAACAGTCACTCCCAATCAAACAGTCTCTGCATGTTGCTGTTCTGTGAGGTTGTGATCCCTGCAGAGAGATCAGTGATTCACGAGAAAAGAATACTGGCCTAAAGACTGAAAGTGATAAATCATCAGGAGGCTATCAGGTCATGTGGTTAGAGGGCAGCTCTACGTCAAAGAGGGGTGGGCGGATTTTTTGGGGGAGGGTTCATGGAAACTGTTGTTGAAACCTTGCAAAATGTTCTTCAACATGAAACCAAAGCAGAGCACCGCTCTACTTTACTTTTATTTATTTTCTTACACATTTTTAACTCAGTCTCTCCCAAACGTCTCACAAAGCGCCGGTTTCAAAGTGTCAGCACATAATGCAGAGCAGTCGCTGCTCCCCACTGTGGGAGTCTCCTGTGTATTTGTTTAGTGACTAACGATGCCGTGAGGGCTTCTTTGGAAACACTGTTTAGCAAAGTAAACCTACCCTGAAAACACACAGTCCAAGTACAGCTTTAAGGAACAATCCTGCAGGGTTTTGTTGGTTTTGCTTTTATTAAACCACACATTGATTTACAGGAAATGACTTACCTTGCAGGTAAATGCACACAGACATTTTCATTCGTTTCAGATTTTACTTGAAGACTGCTTTTTTTTAACCCTGCTCGTTATAAATGTGGTGCTTGTGCTTCAAACATCTTTTAGCTGAGTGTTCAACAAGTGTTCTTTGCTTATCTGTCATGGTGTCCTCACCCCAGTAGGAGGCAGTGTCTTGGTGCTGTGAAGCTCCAGGCTCCTCTTCCTCCTCAGCAGCTCTTTGACAGGATCCCTGACTCGCACACCTTGGTATGGCCTGGACCTGCCCACGGCTGATGGCTGTGCTAAGGAGGTCAGACACACAGCAATGAACAGATACACACAACCTCATTTCCTTTTCAAGTTGCTTTAAATCAGCCCACATGATGCACACGATGGGTTCACACAGTTCATGAGCGGAGGAAGCAGACGCGCTCAGGTGCCATGACTGTAAGCTGACACTGAGACACTAAAGACACACGGAAAGTGAACCTGTCAGACGTATTCTCTTTAAGCCTTTTGAGTGTCAGCATCAGCTGATATAAACCTTTACAATCAATATTCTCAGTGAATGTCCACGAGTGTCTAAGGTCACGGGCTGCATGCACTTCAGTTTGACCAAATGTTTGCTGCTAAGGTTGTTAAACTGGTGCTTTTGGTTTGGAAGAAATCAACAGGTCTGTTATGACGTGATCTGTTTGGGCTGCAGTGCAGGGCTTTCTCGTGTCAAACACAGACAAATGCAATGATGGCGTCCCCCTTGGGTCGGTCAGCTGAAAGTGTGCTGCTGGAAAGCAGGCTGAGCATCCGTGAATGACACTTTGTGAAGAAGAACTTTTGTTTTTCCAGCTTCACTCTGTGACCACACGTCCCCTCTCACCTGTTCCTCTCCTGCTCTCTCCCTCTCTGTCCACCTCTCTCAGCCTTTACGAACTGATCCATGTCATATTTAAACTGAGTACAGACTGCTGCTGACGCACACAGGTAGCATCACGTTGGCTCGCTGTCACCTGGATCGAGCCCAGTTTAACAAACTAAAATAATAACGCACACGTCAGCTCCTTGGATGGAAACTGGCGATATCCCAGCAGACCAGTGGATCAAGGTTACGCTGGGTTTGTTCCTGATATGAATCACATTGTTGCATCAAGAAGTAAAATAAAACCAAATAAACATGTGGAGCTACCAGCTATGCTGAGCCCCTGTCCGTAAGGGAGCAGTCAAAGCTTTATTACATGGTTATATGCTATGATAACCATCAATGTGCAGCTTACAGTAACTGTGTAACAATACAATAAAACCTGTGTGAAAAACACAAACAAAAATGGGCATTTCATCATAAAACATCTGCATCACCTTATAATTCTTATAATTAATTTGACAACACAAAAAGAACTCTAACGGGTCTTAAATCATTACTCTGTGTTTCACATGCAGCTCAAATTATTTCATTAACATTTTTTGGCTGAGTGCCTGAAGGCTCCATCCTCAACAGAGACACACTGACAGAGTAAATGCTTTCTGGGAACATTCAATGTCTGGAACTGGCAGATTCTTGCAAGTATAAGCATGAGAAAAAATCCAGCCTAACAGCAAAGTCGCATTCGTATAAACTCTAATCAGCACAAGTGCAGACAATGGCATCAGTCATTGCCGCCCCGAGCTACAAAATCACCGGTATTGCAGAAATGTGCTCCAAAGGTAAGCGTGACCATAAAACAATGACACCACGGTCATTTGTGCATCGTAACACACTGTACAGCAGCTACGCTGATCGTGATGCTAGGTTAACAGGTTAAAAGGAGGACATGTACAAATTTAAAACCAGAATAAAGAGCAGGCGGCCTCCATACAAACTAACAGTGCTGAGCACACTCCATTCATTTGTTACTGTGTGGCTGCAGATTTAAAACCCCTCATTCCAAATACAAAGGCTGCTAGCATGCGCTGCATAGAGCACTTATTAACTCATTCACTGCCAGCCATTGGTAGTGAATGAGTTAAACCCATTGACTCATTCACTGCCATTGACGGCTATAGACGTCAATGGCAGTGAATGAGTTAAGATCTTTACTGTGAACGTTAGCCTCTTTAGATGCCACAGGTAAGCACAACATGTGACTGCAACTATGAGAAAAATTATAACCACCTGATGTAGAGCGCCCTGGTCCTGTGGTCATGTCTGATGACTCGCAGAGTTAAAGGCACGTTTTTTATTATTTTAATAGAACTTCCTCATAAATACAGAAATAATAAATAAATTGCCTGAACATGATCTATAACAACAGTTGTGACATTCACACGTGGTTTTAACAAACGCACGTCTGAGTTAGTTAACATATCGATTGAATGCCTCCATGTTTGGTTTTGTATACGAGCCACTGTTGTTGGAATTGCACAGATGTGTCAGCAGCTGCCAGAAAATGTCTTTGACACTGCTGACCTGCACATTTACAGTCGCTCTTAGATTCTACACGCTTGAAATATTTTTCATAAAAGAAATACGAAGTTTAATTAAAATGTGCTGATATGATCGCTGGGGTTACAAACACACACTAAAAACAGGAAATTTGCAATCTCCTGGGGAGAGTCCATCAGTTATTTCCTAATGAAACAGTCTGAGACTCACGCTGGAGACAGTGGCTCAGATGGACTGGTGCACAGCTAAGTCAGTTCAAATGAAAAGCCTCATTCCCACAGACTGTGATGTTGATGCTGCGCCAAGACATTGTGCCATACTGAGCTTCAAGTTCTCATGTGTGCAGGTTTCTCGTTATAACATGTTGAGTCTTATCATCCCCTTCCCCACCCTAATACTGTGGCAGAAGATGAACCGGACCCAGCTGGATGTTTCTGTTATGCCTGCATATCCTCTGTTACACTGCAAACATGGTGAGTCCGTTTACTTAGCTGGGCTTCACAACTAAATAACTAAAAGTTCACTTTAACAAGCAGCTCGTAGCTCAGCTGAACATAAACTGCCTCCCTGTCCTCAGACGTCAGCACGCTGAGCCCATTGTGGTGCATGGACATCATTCAAAAATGGATTTAGTTGGAATTACTTGGTTTCAGTTATGAAATTCTGCAGATTAGCAGAAATCCCCTCAATTAGCAAGGCTGTATCAAGCCTTATCACTTGTGATTATCCAGTTAAGAAAGCAAATAGAGGTCAACAGATTGTGCTATGTGGAATTTGTCTCCACGCCAAGAACAGGGCATAATCGGGGGGGGGGGGGGGGGGGGCCCTACAAGCACTTCCTCCTTTACCAAAATTTCACAATGAGAAATTTCTGTGACCATTCAAAGTCTGCCATGGCAAAAGGACACTTTCATGTTTGTCCCTGTTTCTTTTTCTTTTCCTCCACACTGATCACTGAGCACCCTGATAGAGGGAAGTCTTTCTCTCTTCTCAGAATTTCCCTCCAGTTACCGGCACATTTTTTTAACCTTGAGCCCAGAGTTTTGGTTCCTATCACTCACACCGACAGAGGATGGAGACCTTGGGTCCAGACATGTCGGTCCTCTGCTTAACCCCTGTCACGAGGCTGAAGGTATCCTGACAGTATGCTGCACAGCTTCCTCTCTGAAGCTGATAGATTTACCTCTATAGGTCAGACAGGCCACACTTTCTTCTCAGAACAAACAGAACACTGTGACAGTCTGCCATGTACAGACACGTCTGTGGTGCTTAACAATAAAAGGCGCACAAATGGCCACTGCACTGAGCCCAGCCCCTCTTCATTGCGTGTGTGCGTGGTTGTGTGTGTGCATGTGTGTGCATGTGCATTTTACAGTAATGGTGGCAGATTTATTTAACAGTCTGTGCACTTGGGTCTAAATACAGGCTCGTCGACTCCACACAAACTCAGCCACATAACAGCACAAGACTTTATATAAACCATTTACAACATGGGAAAAAATAAGTCATGTTATTTAAGTGTGAAGAAGTTGTATAATTAAAGTAACTGTGATGTACCGTCCCATTTGTGCATTACTGGATTACTGCTGTTGATGCACTGGGTGTTTCTTCTTCACTCACTGTGTGTTTATACACCCGCATTGAATCATTGTCTCTGTCTCCCTTCCACAGCATGTCCTTATCCTGTCTTCCTTCTCTCACCCCAACCAATCACAGCAGATGGCCCCACCCCTCCCTGAACCGGAGGTTTCTTCTGTTAAAAGGGAGTTTTTCCTTCCCACTGTCGCCAAAGTGCTGCTCATAGGGGGTCATATGATTGTTGGGTTCTTCTCTGCATGTATTATTGTACGGTCGACCTTACAATGTAAAGCACCTTGTGTTCTAATTAAATCAGTGATTAAAAGGTGCTCCGTCCCCAAGCAGCAAAGCAGCCCTACACCAGCACATTTCCACCATCATACTTCATACTTGTTTGTCTTCTTCTGTTTACACCAGTTTCCTTTAAGGGGCATCAAAGTGGATCATCAGCTCCATCTCCTGCTGTCCCTAGCTTCCTCTTCTGTCACACCAACCCACAACGTGTCCTCCTTCACTACATCCATGAACCTCCTCTGACCTCTTTTCCTCCTGCCTGGCTGCTCAATCTTTAGTATCTTTTATCCAAAATATCCACTATCCCCTCTCTCCACATGTCCACACCGCCTCCGTCTTGCCTGTTTGACTCTGTTTCCAAAGTGTTAAACCTGAGCCGCCCCTCTGACATTCTGAACTGTCTTGTCCATCCTGCTCACTCCCAGTGACACTCTTACAAAATCTTCAGCTCTCCTGTCTTTCTGTCCGTGCCACGGTCTCCAAACCATCACAGCAAAACATCACAGCAGGTCCATGTCGTAAACCTTCCCTTTCATTCTGCTATTCCACAGTCACAAATCCGCCCTGACACTCATCTCCACGCACTCCATCCTCCCCGCTCCCTCTTCTTCACCTCTCTTGTGCGCTCTCCATTACTTTGGATGGTTGACCCAAGGTATTTAGACTCATCCATCTTCACTATCTACTCCTTCCCTCCCATTCACACACATGTATGCTGTCTCGCATGTGCTGGCTGTCATTCCTCTTCTTTCCCGAGCATATCTCCACCTCTCCAGGTCCCTTTCCACCTGCTTCCCATCCTCGCATCTCATGTCATCAACACTGTCAAAGGTTGGACCTGAAATAAAGGTCCAACCTTTGTCTGGAACAACTGCCTTTCCACTTTTCATCCTCCTCACAGCTGTGCTCACTTCCTCCTCACCAATTCTTTGAATTTGATAATTACCTAATTGTCCTGTGTTTGCCTCTCTCTCGTTGTCTTTATTCATCACTCTCTTAGTACATTTCCATATCTATGCTGACTCGAAGCTGCTGCACATGCTTTCCAGCTTCATTTCTTAGCCATTCTTCATACTTGGTGCTATAAAGATTGACAGACCACGTGACTTTCGCGCATTGCATGCCGGGAACTCGTGGCAAAACAATCCAAGTACCGCATCAAATGCAAGCAATTGCAGCACCGCAAAACGTTCATTCTCCGGTTCCAATACCTTCTTGGTTTTTCTTTGCCCCCCAAAAAAGGAATGTACAAAACGAAGGAGAACAATGCCGGTCCGTACAAAGACAGACTCGACGAAAAGACAAAGAAAAGATACGAGGAAAAATCAAAGGAGTGAAAGGGTCAGACCCTTACGAGCACACAGAGTGGACAAAAGACGTTAGCGTGCTGCCCAACTTTCACCACGCTCAGATTTATAATTATACGGTTCTTGGAGTGAGTGCATACACTCATGAAGTTTAGTAACTTCAGGTCACTGCAACAAGCCCAGGTACAGTTTACCGACGGATGGGTGCAGGACCTTGAAATGCACCGTGTAGAACGAAAGACCATCGTACGAACAAAGGTAAGTTTACCAGTCTCACAAATCGTCGTCATAAATACACATTCGTTAACCGTTTATTAATAGGACCTTTGAGCTCAACGGTAATTAATTAGTAGTGGAAATAATTTCTGGTACATCACAGAAATGTAGCAGTGACAATAATACTGTATGCTGTAATCGTACTGGGCAATTAGTGATACAAAAAAACCTGTTTTATCCTGTGAATAAAAGTATATGTTTTTGTCAATGTACCATAATAACAGAAGCGAAACGCAATATTGTGTCAGGACAATTCACTATTTATGCACAATAAACAAAGGAGCATAGCGCGACAATTTCTGTTCAGCGCCAGACTTGCTTGTAACCTATATCACCAATTATGTTATGAAAATGACGTATTAACTACTAAAAAACACTGACCTTCGTGTAAATGCTTGGAGCAGACTAACCTGTGAGCTGGAGTGTTCTGGGACGTTATATTTGGTCTTTGAATGGCTGCAATCCAGGCCATCCGTCGCCTCTTTGTTACTTCGGAAACATGGCTCGAACAATTTCTCTTCAACGACGTAATCCGATAACAACCGATCTCTTTACCCGTCGGCTTCCCGTGGCTGTCATGCGACCGGCTATTGCAGTTAATAATACAACAGCTTCTTGCCATTTTTGTGTTTCTTTTTATCGCTGTGTGACTGATTTCAATTGAAAGCCTGCGTGCGCTAGTACCTCTTGCCACGAGTTCCCAGAATTCTTTGCGGTTTTACCCCTGAGTGACGTCACATTTTCAATATCTATTTTAAAAAAGCTGTACCAGACACATGTACCTGTGATTCACCTGCACAGAGCATTAAAACATCCCCCTCTTCATGTGACAGTTTTTCTTGACCTGCTTAAAGAAATCACTCAGTTTTCATCACGACTATCTCAGCAGAGCAGAGGACACCTCCTGGAAATGTGTTAACCTTTCCTTATTGAAGCGACAAATTCTGCACAGCCTTTTGCAAAACAGTTTACACAGATGTGATTGAAGCAGGATGTGTCACTCTGACCACGAGTGCCTCTGTTCAGGCCGACGGTCAACTCGATCAAGAAAAACTGTAAATCTGTCTGTCTGAGTTCACAGCTATAACCTCCGCTTTGATATTGTTATTCAAACTCTGCGAGAGAAGGATGTCAGTAACACAAAGTAAAGCATCATTGCTTTAAGTGACACTTACTGAAAATTCTGTGACTGTTAGTTATTGTGTTTTCTTGGTATAGAATTGGATTGAACATTTATTAGCAGCCTTGTTATGCACTCATATGGACTCTCACAGATGAATCCATGAAGACAGGACTGATGCTGTTTGGCCCAGACCAACTGTATCATTTGGGAAAGGGGGAATTCCCCTCAGCTGATTTATTGCCAGAGGCATTCCCCAGTGGACAGTCCTGCACCGGGTTGTGCAGTTTGTTCCTTATGTCAACAAGACTAAAATGTATGTTTTTCACACCATTTTGTGACATGAATTGTCTAATAGTTGGATAAACACTGCATGACATTTTTGGGGCTGAACAAGGGTTAATGGTTAATGGTTAATGGTTCTTCAGTTCTTGGCCTGATCTGCAGATCATGGATTGAGCAACTGCAGAATGCTGTACCAAAGCGAGGGAAGAAATGAGAAACAGATCTGTTGTTGCGGGAGGTTGGTGAGTGATGTTGTAACACAGCCAAGAGAAACAGAGGAGCTGTATGAACAAGAGTGAAGTGTGGTCATGGAGTTCTTTTCTACCTCATCATTCAAATGGAAGAGTTTTCTACAAAGATTAACTGGTAACACAGAAAATTCAATTATGGAACATATGTATCTAAATGTGAGAAAATGTGAAGCCAACACACAAAATGCTCAGTGCCAACAGAAGGAAATGAGTGTAACAAGTTCAAATTAATTGCTGTATCTGTCAACTGAAGCACGGTTGAGTGGATGATGTTGTCTTTTACTACTATCTGTTTTAGACAATCACACATGAGTGCACACGGACAAACAATCACCATGGCACAGGCACACAGACTCAATCAACACAAAAGAGGAAGCTGCACAGCTGTGCGGTGTTTTACTGTGCTGGCTGCCTGCTGCCATTTTGCATATCAAGATTACACCCCAATGGCAACACTCAGCCAGCATTCAAAAGGCAATCTTCCGCTTTCCGAAAGAGCTGCTTCTGACAAAGTTCACAACAGGAAAAGATCTTTCCTTCTGTTTGCACTATTCAACATAAAAAACAATCCTGAATAGAAAAGGAAGACTTTACTTCAACTAGACAATAACAAATTAGCAGCGAATGGTCGTTGCTGAGTTGACGGGCTTTAATCATTTGTAAGCTAAAAATGAATTTTATTAAAGATTAACTACAAATGTGACGGAAATGAAAAACATTTAGTAACACTATACTTGATAATTTACAAAAATGACAAAGGAAGTAGCTTTTAAAAAAATGTCTAAAAATAAATTAAAACTATTCAAAAAGACATGTTGTATTTTCAAGGTAAGGAAAAACACATCATTCGGAGCTGCTGGGATTATATCCACCTGTCATTAGTAAAAATAACTGTAATGTACACTTCACAGAGTGCTTTTTAAAACTTTCCTCATCCATAAGTTTGATGAAGCACATTTCATTCTGCAAACCTCTCCAGTTATTACACTTTAACATAATTATTCATTCATATATAAAGTCAGTATATACTGAGGAAACAGCAACAATATAGTGTACTTACATTTCTCCCAGTGCATGCTGCCTATCTGGTTAATATCAGATAGATAAACTGAAGAAAATCAAAGTGGCGCGTCAACTGACGTGCTTTATAACAGCTAGAAGCAACTAGCAATCCCCTGGGATGTCATAGCTTCTCTAACCACAACTGCATCTGTTTCACAGTTGATAATGTCTTAGTTGAATCATACATGTGACAGCTATTACATCTGAACAGAAACACACAGGCCCGGGTCAAAAAAGAGCTGACGATGAGAGAGCAAGCGCATAAAAAACATTTAAATAACCCATAACTAATTAAAATACTCTCAATGAAAGTAGTGCAACAGACTTCTTTCCCTGTTAGTCTTCTCTCAACAAGCAGACCTAAATTTAGTTAAACTGAAGATGTTATTCTGGCTGTCATTACACATTCAAAAGACTTTAATTAGAAAACCGAGCAATGCATGACTTAATTAGTTTGTTTTTCAGAGTACAATGGGAGGTCTGAGTTCAACTCATGGATGGATGGATTACTGTAGGGTCTACCTTACGATATAAAGTGCCTTGAAGTGACTGTTGTTGTGATTTGGCGCTGTATAAATAAAATTGAATTGAATAAAATTGAATTGACGGATGGATGGATGGATGGATGGATGGATGGATGGATGGATGGATGGATGGATGGATGACGATGGATGGATGGATGATGGGATGGATGGATGGATGATGAGATGGATGGATGGATGGATGGATGACTGGATGGATGGATGACTGGATGGATGGATGATGATGGATGAATGGATGGATGATGATGGATGGATGGATGATGGATGATGATGGATGGATGATCGGATGATGATGGATGGATGATGGATGATGGATGACTGGATGATGGATGGATGGAATGGATGATGACGATGGATGGATGAATGGATGGATGGATGGATGGATGGATGGATGGATTACTGTAGGGTCTACCTTACAATATAAAGTGCTTTGAAGTGACTGTTGTTGTGATTTGGCGCTGTATAAATAAAATTGAATTGAATAAAATTGAATTGACGGATGGATGGATTGGATGGCTGGATGGATGATGATGTATGGATGGCTGGATGGATGCATGCATGGATGGATGGATGATGGGTGAATGATGGATGGATGGATGGATGGATGGATGGGTGGATGGATGGATGGATGTATGGATGGATGGATGGATGGATGGATGGATGGATGGATGGATGGCTGGCTGGCTGGCTGGCTGGATGGATGGATGGATGGATGGATGGATGGCTGGTTTGTATCATTCCCAAAACTGTCCTTTTATTCCCAGGCAGTGCAGTTGGGTTAGTCCTCAACGATGACACAAAGAGTGAAGTCTAACCTTCTTTGCTTGCTAATGAAAGTTGTTCCAAATGTAAACATATGAAGCACAGTGCTACATTCATATGGTTGAGGCAGTTATTTGATTGCACATAGAGGCACAGTGAATGCACCAACATGACTGTGTAGAAGAGTGTATGAATCTGAACACATAATGTCACTTCTACTTTCAGGTACTATTTATGTAACAGTCTCTACATATACCACATGAAGGAGTTGCTCTATAATTTGTATTGCGTAATAGAATACTGTATGTCATAGAGAATGGCATCCTATTCTAGTCTGTCTTTCTTCAGCATTTCTAGCTGTGTGAGAAAATCACATTTCCCTTTTCTCACAACTTGGATACAACTTGTGAAACTTTTGACAAACTTTTTGCAGTTATTTCCCATATTCCCAGTTTTTAGCCCGCACTGACATTATCTCACCCCCTGGAGCATGTGAGGTTAAATTAACCACAAGATAGTATTAGAATAACTCCTGACTCCAAAGTAAACACAGTCAAACTGATTTACATCCCAAGTAATTGTTTTTCAAAGCTGTCCTTTTTTCCCCAAAACATACTAAGGTTAAGGTCAAAGGGATAGAATTTCTTGAAACATGTGAAGATTTGACCAGGAATTGTTCACATGACTGTCATCATGGTGAAAGTAAATGCCGTATTTCTGGGTTCACTGGTGCAGCGGAGCCAATGTAGCCAGATCTGTCTGGCTGCCATGAAACGTCAAGTAAATAGATATGCCAGTGCTGACCTGTTTGGGCATGAGGGCATGAGTTAGTCCAGCCTCCAGTGTAACCAGAAGACTTGGAGAAGAGACAACCTGTTTTAAAAACCGAGGCTAGAACAAATGAGGCAAGCAGACATTAACGAGCTGGTTAGGAATCACATCAAGGTGTCTGCAGTGAACAGGAGGACTTGCCTGCTTGAAGGGGCAGAGACGACCTTTTTTCCTCTGTTCCTTCATCATTCTACAATAGCAGCGTACTCTTATCTGTTATATGCGATTCAAAAGACGTCCACTCTAAATGGATCCTGGCTGTATACTTTGGGGGTATTATTTTTGTTTCTCAATATGCCTCAGTGTGTTCGACAGGAAGATAAGGAGTAAAAATGTCCTGCAGCCACATTTAAGGTGGAACACCTTCAGTTAGTCAGACACAGCACAAGTGGATTTGGGTTGCAAAGTAGCTTGCAGATGTGTGGCAGCTGTGGGCAGGCTAAAGCAGATTTAATAAGATGCCCTACAAGGAATTTTGCATGTGGTGGGAAAGAGTATGACTGGCACTGAGATCAGCTGACCTGCTGGGATTACAGCAAAGTTTGACTTGATAATGATAATGCTTAATTTATTTACTATGAGTAGAAAGTAATGTTTAATGTCCTGAGCAACATATGCTGGAATCAACTGCAATGTATTTTCCCCTTGACTACACAGTGTAAACCACGTGCACGTGCTGCTCATCGTGTATGCGATCACGTTCTTCTTCTCTTATAACAATTTTACAGTTACAGTAATCAGAGTTAGCCCACGCTGCCTTTTTTTATATGGCAGCGTACAGTAGAGGTTTTAGATATGGGCGACACGGGCGGTTGCCCGGGGCAGCATCGTGGTGGGGGGCGGCATCACGGGCATCGGCAAAGAAATAATAATTGCTCGTACTCATGCTGCCCCGACGTCAGCCAGCGCATACTGGGAATGGTACAGGCACCGATCGGGTTTTCTGCCGCACATTTGCTAGGACTAAGGGCGCCCTCCGTTTGCGAGGTGCGCCTGCTGCTCAGGAAGGAGAGGGGGCGGGGCGGCGGGGGAGTCTCTGGCTGGCTGGAGCAGCATCTAATAACCAACTCGCAAAATAAAACAAAATAAAAACAAAACAACAAACAGACATCATGATACAGACTTATAATTTGCATGTTTTTTCGAAATTCTGTACGCAAAAAAAAAGCGAGAGCCCTCGGTGCGCCTGCGCGCTGCTGAAGTCAAAGTAAACTTTATTGTCATCTCCGCTACATACAGTCCAGCATATAGAGAGACGAGACGACGAGGCTCCAGTTACAGCAGTGCAAGTAAACAAACAATAAATATAAGAAGAGTAAGAAAATAAATATGCACTTTAGGACCAGGGGTAAAGGATCAATAACAATTTAAAATTTATAATTTACAGTTTGATGATTTAATGTCACACACAACCCGTGGAAAGAGGTTCATAATGTTGTAAATCCAAGCCCATTATGTATTCACGATTTCAATCCTGGGTCGTGTGAAATCCCAGAAATAAACCTTAGACAAAGTGAATCTGTGAACTAAGGTGTAGGTCTGTTAGGTTATGTTGTGGTGATCCTCGAGTTGGGGGATTTGTGTTCATACTGGAGTGCAAAATTAAAACCAATGTAAGATGGACAAGAAAAGACAAAAGTCAATCAAGCCATCAGGTGCTCAATTTAGAGAGAGGGAGTGTTCGCCCAGGGCGCCAAACAGGCTAGGACCGCCACTGGCAGCCTATTTGACCAGAGAACGTGCAGCCAATAAGATGGCTGCAGAGAAGCTTGCAGAGGTGGGGTTAGGGGCAAGCAAAAAAAAAAAAAGATTGTCATCAGGTTATTGATATCATGAAGAGTTTTGGTATTGGAAATGCCTCATAAAGTATCAAAAGTTCAGTTCTCTAAAACTGAGGATGTCCCCACAGATTAATAGAAAAGGTCATGACTCTAAAGTCAGTTCTAACCCTAGAGTGAGGTCACAGAAGTTTAAAAAAAAACCCTCATACATTTAAAGGCACACTACACCACTTAACAAGCAAGGTTTGATGAGTAAAGTTCTGGTATCCTATGAGACAAAGCACCACTTATTTGTGCCTGCACCCATGCAGTTCTGAATGTAGCTGCTAACAAACCCTGCTTGCATTACCTGATACCGAGGCTTCTAAATGAGGGAACCAGCGGCTGTATTCATGGTGGCCATCTTTTATATCTAGTTTACAGTTTTGACTCAGGCACTTCGAACACTGCTTTAGGTTTAGGCCTGGCTTGACCCTTAGTTTTAGCCCATAAATTACCCACGGTCCCTGAATTTCACTTCAGCAAAATACAAAACACAATCACTTTTAATGGCAGCAATGGTTAGTCTGGACTTCCAGATGCTTTTCTTTCCAAGCTCCTTAGGCTGGGATGACCTGGATGACTGAGAACCCTCACAGACATTACACTGAGAATATTAAAAATTAGCGGAGTCATATTTTGTTAACAACAAGATAATGAGACGAAGACTGAAAGGAAATGACACAAAATTACATTATCACTGTATTACTCCCTTTTATGTATTTGATACAGTCATGGTGAAACAGGAAGTAAAATTAGACAAATACAATAAAACAGTTTGAAATGTTAACTTTTTATGCCAGAACTGAATGTGCCACAATATGAGTCTTTACAGTCAAATGACCCGATGCTAAAAGCAAAGCTAGCACAGTACCTCCTGCTGCCATACCTGCCCCTCCCAGCCAGTCGATATTTGCTTTCCCTGGAAAACAGCATCACTGCTGAAAACACACACCTTCAGGCTCTCGCTTCCCTGTAAACTGCAGCATTTTGCCAAGATTGTCATTTGGCTGTCTCAAAGTGACCTTGAAATCATACACACAAACAAACATGACAGCAGGAATTTGATTTCTTTATTTATTTAGTGAGCGAGATGAAATCGTCAGCTTCCGTCTCGTCTGCTCCTGCTGCTCTGTGAACAG